TATATGTAATGGGAAAGAATACCAGAAGGGAAAGAAAAAGAGAAAGCAACAGAAGACATATTTGAAAGGATAACAACTGAGAATTTCCCTAAATTAATGTCAGACACCAAACCAGATATCCAGGAAGCTCACAGAATGCCAAAAATTAAATGCAAAAAAACAAGCAAATGACTTTACTTAGGCAAATCATATTCAAACTGAAGAAAATCAAAGCTGGATAAAAAATCTTGAAAAAAAGCCAGAGGGGGAAAAGATCTTACCTACAGAGAAGAAAAGGTAAGAATCACATCCAACTTCTCTGAAACCATGCAAGGAAGAAGAAAGTGGAGTGAACTACTTAAAGTACTGAAAGAAATATAGAATTCTACATCCTACAAAATTATGCTTCAAAATCAAAGGAGAAGGTCATCAGCAAGATGGTGGAATAGAAAGTTCCAATGCATGTCTCCCCCCAACCAACAAAAATAATGAATAAACAACCACAGGGAAATGGGCACCGCAGGAGGACTCAGCCCCTCCCAGGAACACATGGAATAGACACACACACTTAGACCAATTTCTTCCAAAAGATAACTGAGGGCCAATAGACCGCGTCTGCATAACAAATGAGAGAGAGACCCCACATAGAGAGTGTTGGGGAACTGTGAGAGCTCTCCAGGATCTGAGAAAACCCTCTGGGATCCAAGGAACCAATGAAAGCCATTGTTTACATTCTCCCTACACCTAGATAATGTGTGCACGAACTCTATCCAGGTGCTCTGTCCAATGTGCAAGACAGACACAACACATTCCCAGCCACCCTCTCCTGAACTCATTCTAACGAAACCAAGAGAGCAGCACAACATATGTGCACCAGGCTGCCCAACCCACACCCTGCTCCAGCCTCAGACAACCAAATTAACAGGGAGCTGTCACACACATGTGCACACTGGGCCATCCCATACCCAACATAGGAGCACCTAAACATATAAAGCAAAAATTAACAGGCATAAAGGGAGAAATTGACAATGTTACAATAATAGTTGGGGACTTTAATACCCAACTTACATCAATGGATATACTATCAAAACAAAACAAACAATCAATAAGGAAACAAAGGCCTTAAATGTCACATTAGACCAAACTGATATTTATAGGATATTTCACCCAAAAACTGTAGAATACACATTCTTTTCAACTGCACATAGAACATTCTCTAAGACTGATCACATATTAGGCCACAAAACAAATCTCAATAAATTCAAGAAGACTGAAATCATATCAAGCATTTTTTCCAACTACAACATTATGAAACTAGAAGTCAACTACAAGAAGAAAGCTGGAAAAAAACAGAAACACGTGGAGACAAATAATATGCTACTAAACAACCAATGGATCAAACAGGAAATCAAAAAATACCTGGAGATAAATGAAAATAAAAACACAGCTTTCCAAAGCCTATGGGATGCAGCAAAAGCAGTTCTAGGAGGGAAGTTCATGGCTATGCATGCCTACCTTAAGAAACAGGAAAAATCCCAAATAAAACAACATATCTTTACATTTATAAGAACTATAAAAAGAAGAACAAACAAAACCCAAAACAGGTAGAAAGAAGGAAATAAAGATCTCACCAAGAAAAAAAGAGGGTCCAAATAAAATAAAATAAAAGTGACAACCAACAACATAAAAATATAAAGGATCATTAAAGAATACTACAATTATATGCCAACAAACTGAACAACCTAGAAGAAATGCATAAATTTCTAAAAAGATAGGACCTTTCAAGACTGAATGAGGAAGCACCTCAAGACATGAATTTAAGTGTAAACTACATCTTACAGAAACCTAGACATCTCCTAAGAATAAAATCAAAGCCTCTAGGGAAGACTTAGTAAAGGCCTCACAATTAATTTTTTAAAGGCAATGAACAGAACATAATTATTGATACTAGGCATGCAGGAAAATAAGGCAATATGAGTACCCAATAATAGAAGCAGAGCAAGTAGTAACAAATCTGTAAAAGCTTCAGATGTTGAAAATGTAAATGAAACAAATATGCTTACTATGTTTAAAGATATAAATGGCAAGTCTGAAATATCTGTAGTGAACAGGAAACTTACAAAAAGTGACAGACTTGAAAAGAACCAAATAAAGCTTCTAAATATAAAAATTATAATAATCAAAATTTTAAACTCAGTGGTTAGATATAATATCTTGCCCATAGCAAAAGAAAGTACTAGTAAAATAAAAGTTATGAAAAATTACACAGAATGTACCACAGAAAGTGAAAAAAATTAAAATTTAAAATAACTAAGATGTAAGAGTCTATTAGATACAATGAGAACATATAACTTACATTTGCTTGCGGTCCCAGAAGGCAAAGAGAGAAATATGGTAAAGAAAATGTTAGAAAGTAATGACTAAGAATTGTGCAGAACTGGTGGAAGTTTAAAAGAATCATGAGGACTAGTAAATTCCAATCAAGAGAAATAGATCTACACCTAAATATATCATAATTAAATTGTAGAAAACCAAAGATAAAGAGAAAAATCCTAAGAGCAACCAGTGGGTAAAAATACTGACACCTAACACTTCAAGAGAAACAATGAAAAGCAAAAGACAAGAAAATGTAATATGAAGAGAGAAAATAACTAATCATCTCTAATTCCATAGCCACTGAAATATCTTTCAAGAAAGATAATGAAATAATGACATTTCTAGACAACCAAAAACTGAGATGGTGTCACCAACATATTCACAATATATGCAATTCTGGACCACAAGGAGGCAGAAGAAAAGTGATCCTGAGCAGAAACTCTGAGATTTAAGAAGGAATAAAAATAAAAAAATAGAATAGTAAATATATAGATAATATAAACAAAATTTAATAAAATTTAACTATGTAAGACAGAAATAATAACAATAATATGATCTAGTGAGATTAAACACAAGAATTAAAATGCCAGCAACATTAACGTATATGTTGGGAATATGGACAAGGAATTCAAGTGTTTTGAGGTCTTTGTATTATTTATGAGAACAATAAAGGTTCTGTTCAACTTCAGACTTGGGATAATTTAAGGCTGCACATTATGGGATAACTCAAGATTGCACTTTATGGACTACATTTCTATGTAGGATGTAATATATTGGAGCAGACCAATACTCCTGCCAAAACAACTAAAGAAACTGGAAACTGAGCTGATGTTTCTGCACATACTTGTTGCCTGGAAGTACTTCCTGATTCTGTTACTCAGGACAAGATGTTGAAAATCTGGATTTTGCCCAGGCTGAGGGCTGTTGTTAGAAAACACAAACAGTAGCAGAGGTTTCAAGGATCTTGCAGGACAGAAGACAGGGACCTCAAAAGCACAGTGAGTTTTCCCCCAGGACGTTTACCAAATTCTGGAACTATAATAAAAGCTAAGCAGCACGTCCTGAAAAAGCAAAGCAGGATTTCTGCCGGTCTTGTGGTGCGAAGGAGATACGGACTAGTAGTATTCAGGACCTGTGGGAGGGAGCATGACCACACCCGACTCTCAGTGCCCTGGAGGCTGCACCCTAGGAGCAAACCAAGCGTAAACTGACCCTTACTCTACATGCACAGGGGAGAAAAGAAAATTGTCTTATCTGGAGCCTCTATAATTTTTTATATATAATGTCTAACATTCAATAAAAAATTACTAGGTATGTCAAAAGAAAATGAAAATCAAGGTAATTTTGCTTTTTTTCATAATTCAATTTATAACTTATAACACAATGTCTTGCAGTACCTTCAAGTCATTATTTGAAACACCAATGAAAACAGTTCTGTAGATAGGAAAATTTTACATTTTTAGAATGGCAAATAACAAAGAATTTACCATATTTTTAAACTCTCGGCAAGAGTAAATTTCATCCTTCTCTAGATATCATAACTACATAATTCTCTATATTGCTCACGCAGAATACCCATTAAATCTTATTTATTACACATAAATACTTATCAGCACTAGCTTTTACTCCATCCCTTTAAACATTTTCATCTTATTGAGAACATACAGTTTCAAAACTAACTTCCAATGTCAACACCTGAAGTAATTTCCAGTTTCCCTAAAACCTGTAATTTTTTCTCATTGCATATTTTGTTTCTCTTACATGTTATAACCTTAATAACTCTAGCTTTAAAAAGACAATATGAAAATACTTTGAAAAATATAAATCTCCACACAAATTTAATGACACTTTATTATTGCCATTGATTAACATATAAAAAGCCTGAAAATTTTTTAGTACTTTCAACTAATTGCGATAAACATGTTGCTTTTAAACAGGACAGAATCAGAAGTTAATCTTCATGTAAGCTATTAAAATAGTCCAAATTCCAAAACTAACTGTAACAAAACAGTATGTTATACTCTTAATATGTTTTTAACTTTTCTCTTTACTATTAAGATATATATATTGCTTTTAACAGAATTAAATCCCTTAAGGTAATAATGAAAAGGTTATATGAAATTAGATATACAGAGAATCATGGAATTCTCGAGGCCTATTTATATACTAGTTTCTTTAACTAATAAAATAAAGTATTGAACATGATTCTTAAGGTTGTTTAAGCTAACCATATGGCTAATACATTATTGCAGTAAATTTTTCATTTAGTTAAATCAGTGGTACAAGTAACTTAAAAATTAACTGCTCTAACAGAGGTGAAAGTGATAGGCTATATTTGCACTATTGGGCTTTGAGTATAAAACAGAAGATCACAGACATAGAAATGAGTCTTTTTCCTTCCATAAAAAGGAAGTACATCACAGAAAAAGTAACTTAACTAGGTAAGCTAAAACATTCTATTAATAAACCTGGAAAATTCTGACAGTACAGCAATGACTCATACAAACACCAATAATAAGGAGCAAGTAACCTTTGTGCTACATGCAAATAGGGGACCTTTGTACATTTGACAACCTAGATACAGAAAAGTGGTTTCTGTTTGAATAAAAGAAAAATAGTGTTAATGATCAAAAGTGTATGCTCACCTTGTAAAAATTCCTCCCTGCAAGCAGTGAAGTAGAAGAAAACAATGCTGACTTTCTTGGCCTGCTTTCTTTAAATCGGCCTTGAACCAAGAATAACTAAAGCACTGGACCACAAGTGTTCCAAAGAGCATAAAGCTTACTGTTAAAACACCAAAAACATATTGTCCTTCATGGAAAAACCTAACAGATACCCATATGTCCACAATTAAATCAGTTATATAGATTATAATGCCAAGAACAGACATCATAAAATTCGACTTAGTATATTTCATTATGTATCACTATAGCTCTTGGTTGTCTACTTCTCTTATGCAAAAAAAAGAAAAAAAAAACAGCTTTAGTATAGCACTGAATTTTATTTTCTACTCTCTATATCTATTTAGAAGCATAAATATTATGAAATTGAAACACTAAAATCAAAGTGAATAATTTTAACTTTCTTTTCTAAATCTCTAATCTAGGTTCAATGTTACAAGGCTTTATTCAATCTTCTGTTTCACAATGATCTTCATTACAGATGACAATACCTAAAATAAAACATATTTACATATATATAAGATTCTTAAACTCTTGAGTATAATATTAAAAACTCTAGGTCATGACTTTATCAAAGCGCTACTTAAATAATAATAATAATAATAATAATAATAAATATATTACCACTAAATATAGCTCTTGTAATAGCTTTGGGAAAGTAAAGTCTCAGCAATATACTAACAAAATGACAACTTCCTCTCAAGCTAATTTACCTTTTAAAAAGCTTAACCTAGTTCTCTCTGTTCTTCTCAAAAGAAGATGACCATCTGCAAACCAGGAAGTGGGCCCTTACCAGACACTGGAAGTTGACACCTTGATCTTGGACTTCCTGCCTCCAAACCTGTTTCTTCTCAGATATGCTTCTCCTGGAAAAGGCTTCTCTATCCCAACTCTCATCTGCCTGCCAGCCAGAAAGCCTGAAGCTCTCCACTAGAGATGGATTCCTCCAGGTTAAACATTCTCCTCTTTAAAATACAGATATCTTCTAAGATGAATCACACATATAACCATAAATTAGTAGCATTTATAATTCTTAAAATTTTTTAAATTGATAACTATCAAGGTCCTGAAGGAATGAAATAGACAGAGCTGTGGTTGCCAAACACCTTTGATTATATATCCTTATTAGTAAAAAATTTTGAGCTATGTGTGTGTACATATGTCTGTGTGTATATATATGTGTATACATATACATGTAATTACTATCAATCCACACATTTTAATACAGGATTTTTATATACATTTTAAAGATAAAATAAAAGCTTAACCTACTTACAAAGATATTTATCATGGGACCATTTATATTGGCAAAAATTTAGAAACTATCTAAATGTGTCAGCATAAAGAATTGGTAAAGTCAATAACGGTAGATTCATAAAATGGAATATTACAATGCTATAAAAATATATTTAACAAAAGTACAATAGCTATGAAAACTTTTAATATGCTTTTGATCCAGCAATTCCATCTAGAAATCAAGCCTACAGAAATATTCACAAATGTGCACAAAGATATATATGCTCTTTGCAGAACTTCTTATACAACAGCAAAAAATTGAAAACTACCTAGATGACAATTGAGAAGCTTAGTTCTACAACTTATGGTACCTGCACACTAAAGAATACACCATGCAACATTTAATAAGAATGAAGTAGTTTTGTATAACCTGATTTCAAAAGATCTCCAAGACATATGAAGTAAAAAAAAACAAGTGCCAGAAGGATAAATATATCATTTATGGTTTTTAATTATATAGAGAGAGGGGAAAAGGGTTGTGAGTAGAAAGCAAATGCAACTTCAATACTTCAATTAAACATACTTTTATATTGTTTGAGTTTTTTACAACAGATTTGTACTTATGTATTATATAATTTCTTAAAATGAAAACAATAGTAAATGATACTTATAAAGAATTTCAATGACTGAAGAAAATGTTTATGCTACTAATGATAGATAACATTTACTTAGCACAATGTGCCAGGAATTGAACTAAATGTTACATATAAACTGTCCCCATTTAATTCTTACATCAAACTTGGGAGGTAGATACTATTATGATTCCTATTTTATGAAGTGGGCTGGATCCAATCTGCAGATGAAATCTGTCTGACTCAACGGTGTTTTTTAAATTTCCCTGATTAATTGCCAACATTTCATATAAAAATCCAGGTTTTTCACCTTGGCCAGTGTGGCTCAGTTGGTTGAAAGTCATCCCATGCACCAGAAGGTCGCAGGTTCAATTCCCTGTCAGGACACATGCCCAAGTTGAGGGCTTGGTCCCCAATAGGAGGCATGCAGGAGGCAGCGAATCAGTATTTCTCACATGGATGTTTCTCTCTCTCTTCCTCTCCCTTCCTGTCTCTCTAAATGAATAAATAAATCATTAAAAACATATTTTAAAATCCAGATTTTTCACTGCTATCAAAAAAAAAACCCAGCATAAAAATCTCCTACACTAGACTACCATTCCTCCATTATAGTGGGTGCCCCCCAAATGGAGAATGCTCTCTCAAGTTCACCACAGTAGCCAGCTACCCCACTTCAGTCATTTCAACAGCTAGGTCTTAATGCTAATGCAGTTACCTACTAGCTATGTGTCGTTAAACATGTTCTTTTATCCTTTACGCCTTATTTTATTCATCTGAACTACAGAGATTATAATGGTGTATGCCTCATACCTCACAGTTAAGAAGGGTAATACATATCACATATATAAACTTCTAGAAAAATACTTGGCACAGGGTACTCAATAAATGTTAGTTATCATCACTACTTTACCTGCCCACCTGATCCCTGTAAGCATCTCAGTTTGCAATCTTTGACTTCACCTTCAATAATGTTAAATGAAAAAATACTATGGTATGATGTTAAAGCTTTGAAAATGCAAAGAAAATATTACTAGAGAAATTTTTTAAAATGTCAACAATGGTTTTATTTATTGAATTAATGGTGTTATAGATTAATTATTATTTTTTTCTTCATTCTTTTCTATATGTATGGACAGAATTGTTTCTCTGAAAAATCATGTTAGAATCCCCAATATGATTGCATTTAGAGAAAGGCCTTTAAGGAGGCAATTAAGGCTAAAAGAGGTCATTAAGATGGGGCCTTAAGCCAATAAGACTGGTATCCTTATAAGAGGGAGAGACACCAGAGATCTACCTCCCTCCCCACCCCAACACAAACACAGAGGAAAGGCACGTGAGGACACAAGAAAGCAGCTATCTGAAAGGAAGGAGAGCAGCCTCACCAGAAACCAATCCTACTGGCACCCTGATGTTGGATTTCCAGTCTCCAGAACTGTGAGAAAATAAATTTCTGTTGTTTAAGCCATCCAGTCTGTGGTATTCTGTTATGACAGCCTAAGTAGACTAACACCCTATATGTTCTATAAAGAATATTTATTACTTTAAAAACCAGGAGGGAAAAGTGGTATTAAAAACATCTACAATCTAATACTTAGTGTTCTTGCCATTTTACCACTTATAGATATTTTGTTAAGAAGTCTTCAGAATAATATTAAAAGGTATTTCACTCTTCTTAGGGGAGAAAAACACACAAAAGTTCATAATTCTTTTCCTGTCAAGACTGTTGTAGCCAACAGGATGAAAAAAATAATTTCAAGATGTAAGTTTTTCCAGTCTAGCAGGCCATGAATTTCCCTGCAGTAGGTTTCTTATCTTAAAATAAAAAATATCATGCCTAGAATAAGCATGAATTTTAGTAGGATGAGATTTAATCAGAAAATTCTGTTTAACTGAATTAATTAAATATTTACTTTGAACCCACAATGTGCTGTTTTAGGCTCTTGGGATATATCAAGGGACAAAAGAAATGAAAATCCCTGCCTTTGTAGAACTTACACTTTAGCAGAGAAAGATAGTCCATTAACAATAAAATAAATTAATGTGTAAATATTATATTCAAAGGTGATAAGTGCTATGGAAAAAAACATAGAGCATTTTAAGAGAGATCAGGAGTTGGAGTAGAGGCAGGCATGTCATGGGTTGCAATTTTAATTAGAATGGTCAGGGCAAGCTTCAATGAGTAGGTGACATTTGAGTAATGAAATCTGTCATGTGGATATCATATGGAAAAGCTTTCCAGGTGGAAGGAATAGCTAGTTTAAAAGTGTAATGCGCTACATTTTGAGTATGTCCTCCAAAAACAAAAGTTCCACAAAATATTGGCAGAGATTCCTTAGCATGATTATATTGGTTGTGTTTAATGTGTATATAAGTCCTGTCTTAACATCATTTGTAAAAATGCAATTTCTTAAGCTTTACTATGTAGGGGAAAAGAAATATTGCACATATAGTGGAAGAGTAGATAGTAATAATAGTAGCTACCACTTCTGAGTGTTTACTACATGTGAAGTGTTTTATGTATATTATTTCATTTAATCCTTACAAATCCTTATGAGAAGGATATTATTGGACCCATTTTACAAATCAGAAAACTGAATTTAGAGATATTGGGTGTTTAGGTGAGTTATCTCTAAAGAGCAAACCATTTTTTAATTGTAGATTATTTCCTTAAAGTTACAGACCATAATACCTAAGCACTCCATGCATACATTTCTTAATCACTCTCCCCACAAAGAGAGCTTCCTTTACCTGGCATGGGTATGGAAAACACTAGCCATTTCAAGTCAAGTTTTATAAGATGGGAAAAATAATTTCTAAGAAACTTATTAACTGCATTATTGGTAGAATATCAGACTCAATAAACTAATCTGATATGAAAACTTATATATTCCGAATTTAATGAGGCAGGGACATAACACCAACTGGAAAGAAACCTACACAGCAAAGTAACAAATATAGCAGCTCTCACAAAGAGGAACCACAGCTCTTTTATATAGTCACATAGTTGTATAACTTGTATGAAGGACAGTTCATCTCTATCCCTACAGTTTATCACTATTCCAATACCACCTTATGAGAAATAATGCCACCTACAACCCAGCTGTGTGGCTTCCTGGCTGCTGGCCAAAATATATAACCTTTGCCCACTGTACAGGATCTCTTTCCAATAAAGGAGATATTTAAAGAGTAAAAACTAGCAAACTTTCATTTGTCGACCAAATTTACCAGACATAAAATATAGACTTACTTGTCAAATATAAAAAGTCTTCAAGTCAAAGTCTCTTCCAGAAAAATCTTCATTTCTTTTATTTCTTCTTCACTGAAAACAAGTATCATTAAAGGGTTTGTAAACCTTTAAGACCAAAGGCTAAAATGAAACTGAAATCATCTGTTAGTCATATGTGGGATTTTCTAATCTAGTGATGACAAAGTGATTCATTGTGACTATGGTACAACCTTTTATAACTGTCACAATGGGGAATGGCTCCTATTATAGGTTGACTAGGTTACAAGCTTTTATTTATTTGCCTCACAGCATATCCAAGTGAACAAGTCATGTTTGAAAGAGAGAAAGAGAGATTCTTGGATTTGAAATACTCTGATAAAGAATTTACAAAGTATCATTAACTTAGCCCTACCTACTTTTTCAAACTATATACCTTCTCAGACCCTACGCTCAGAGACCATAAGATTGTTGGTTTCTGTTCCCAAAAACACCCACTAAATTTCTTCTATTTCCAACCCTGTCTATAATGCCCTTCTACCTCCACCTACCTGATGAAGTTCTATCAATCCTTTAAGAATCAGCTCAGCCCGGCCAGCGTGGCTCAGCAGTTGAGCATCAACCTATGATCCAGGAGACTGAGGTTTGATTGCCAGTCAGGGCACATGCCCGGGTTGCAGGCTTGATCCCCGGTGGGGACCGTGCAGAAGGCAGCCGATCAATGACTCATCATTGATGTTTCTATCTCCCTCTCTCCCCCTCCTTTCCTCTCCCTGAAATCAATAAAGACATATTTAAGAAAGAAAAAAAAAGAATCAGCTCGAAACCTGTAAGCTTTCCCAGATCTTCCCAATTTGATTCCCCCCTTCCTCCTTACAATCCCATCACTTTAGCTTCTCCTCTAGGATTTACCCAAATATGCATTAAAATGAGACCATGTATATCTCCTTTCTGGTTATGAGCATCTAGAAAGGGCCTACTATCTTTCATTTTTAACACCCCCTCCCCACAATATGTCTACAAGAATACTTTGCATGTTACAGGCAGACGATAAATGACTGCAAATGTTACTGGACAGAATGTTAAAACCTTTGGTCTTATTTCTTGGAGAGGAAGTTAACCTTCAAGTCACATTGCTAAACATATCAACAAGACTCAGTTTTGTATCTGTAGCATCGATCTCACTTCTGAGCTGAACTCACATATCAAACTATCTACAGGTATCATTACAAAGATATCCCCAATCTCCTCAATTTCGACTTATCTAAACCAAGGTCACTATCTACCCTCTGTTCCTGCTCTTCTTCTTTTTTTAATCCCTACCCGAGGATATATTTTCATTGATTGTTTAGAGAAAGAGAGACTGAGAAATATTGATTGGTTCCCACCTCTACACGCCCAACAGGGGATTGAACCCACAACCTAGGTATGTGCCCTAACCAGAGATTGAACACACAACCTTTTGGTGTAGGGAACGACGTTCCAACAAACTGAGCCACCCAGCCAGGGCACTTAACCTTTAAATTATTTCTTGGGCTCAGCTGGCATGGCTCAGTGGTTGAGTCTCAACCCATGAACCAGATCACCGTTTAATTCCCAGTCAGGGCACATGCCCCATTTCCAGCTCCATCCCCAGTAGGGGGTTCGCAGGGAGCAGCCAATCAATGACTCTTATCATTGGTCTTTCTATCTCTCTCTCTGTCTCCCTTCCTCTCTGAAATCAATAAAAACATATTTTTTAAAAAAATTATTTGTTGGGCCCATGTCTTCATTTGCCAAATGAAGAGCCTGGTAGTGAATTAAATGAAATCAAGACGATAGGCACAAAGGAAATTCCAATTAAAAAAAAAAAAAAAAAA